TTTGGAAACAGTGTCTGTAACCCAGGCTAGCCTCAGACTTGTGAGGACTGCTTCAACCTCCAGAGTGCTGGGATCCCAGGTGTTGGCCAGAGCACACCTGCTGCTTTTTGAGGAAGTGGGGGTTTTATTTTTTAGCTTGCTTTTAAGAACACAAAGAAACAGGCCAGTTTGAAGTTTTAGGAAGAACTAAGTTATTCTTAGGCATACTCTAATGTTAATATGGCCTTGTTATTCGATTGCCTTCATACATTTCTCTGTAGATTTCTCTCCTGTTCTTGTCCTGTTTGTGGAAGAAAATAAGAGCTGTTAGTTTTCTTACACAATAAAAAAGAAAAGCATGTCATTTCAGTAAATTAATTGAGGCTTTTTATTTAGAAATATTTCATTTTTCAGAAATATGTTTTAGAAGGTGTCTGAATAAAACTATAATGTGAAATGCTGTGTTTGTTTATACTGTTAACTTTGTGTGCTATAAAGCCATTTGGGCCTGTTTCTCAGACATGTCACTTGGGGGGGATTCATCTTAGTTTGATTGTATAGGTTCTTTCCTCATCTGTGCTGAGAAACTGAAGCCTGGAGTCATGCTGTTGCCAAGGATGTGGTTTGTGACTATACTGCACCCCACATCTTACTGACCTAAAAGAAGGAAGGGTGTAAGCTTATACTTACATTGCTGTGTATTACCCAAGACAGAATTTGTATCTAGGAGTGCAAGACATGCTGGTACTTGAGACCCTGTCAAAATAAAGCAGTAAAAGTGTGTATTTTAAAAAGAGAGGAGGCTGGAAAGATGGCTGAACGATTAGGGCCACTGGCTGCTCTTCCAGAGGACCCGGGTTCAGTTCCAGCACCCACATGATGGTAACAATAGTCTATGGCTCCAGTTCTAGGAGATCTGAGCCCTCTTCTGGCTTCTGTAGGCATTGCGTGAATGGGAGCACTTCACATGCAGACAAAACACTCATGCATGTAAAATAAAAATAAATTTAGGGGTTGAAGAGATGGCTCAGTGGTTAAGAACACTGACTGTTCTTGCAGAAGACCGGGTTCAAATCCCAGCACCCACATGGCAGCTAACAACTGTCCGTAACTCCAGTCCTAGAGGATCCGACAGCCTCTTCTGACCTCCATGGTCATTGCACAACATGAATAAATTTTAAAATTAAATTAGAAAGAAATAGCTTGTGGGGGAGGGGGCAGTCATAGAGTGCTTGTCCAGAAAGCCCTGGGTTCAGCTGACTCCAGCACTGCATAAAAGCAGGCAAGTGGCCAGCACCCATATTCCCAGTCAGGAGTTCAAGGTCACCCTCAGCTACATAGCTGATTTGAGTTCTACTTAGGGACACAAATGAAAGATATGCTAATATATATTTTTAGTAATTTAATGCCTCTTGTAATTGTATACACATATTAAAATTGAATTTTAATTTCTTTAACATCAAATGATTGTTTTAATCTTGGGTACAGAGTTCTGGATATTGTAGTCTGAGATATACCACAGTGGTCAGGTTTCAGGTGTGTGAACTGGTCTGCCCTTCAGTCACTCTGAACATGACAGATTGTGATTTGCCCGAGTCAATCCATGCTCCTTTTGTGCTGTGGCTTGCTTTCTGGACCGAGGCTCTGGATTCAGGAGTATAAGTGTATTCAAAGATGCCAGCTCATGGGGCTGGAGAGATGCTCGGCCATCAAGAGCACTGGCTACTCTTGCAGAGGACCCAAGTTTGGGTCCTAGCACCCACATGGCAGCTAACAGCCATCAGTTCCAGTTCCAGGGGGTCCAGTGCCGCCTTCTGGCCTCCTTGGACATTACATATATATACACACACACACACACACACACATATGCAAAACACTCATGCACATAAAATAAAAGTAAAGTTTAAAAACCATGCCAGCTCTTGTGGTTTGGTGTTAAGTAGAGCTAAACGTTTGTTGATAATTGGAGCTCCCGAGTATAAGTTCCTAAACAGTCATCTGAAATTTTATTTTGATCATTTAGTACTGTAGGAAGAAGATACTGTAGACGGCACGGTACTCAGATGTGAAAATATACCTATTAGAACTCTCTAAATGTAAAATAATGGGAGAAATCATTTTAGCTGCATGTGTGAGATCTAAAGGTGGAAACTAAGATTTTGAAGGACAGAAAGAATAAAGCGGGTAAAAGACCAGAGTCAGACCTTCAGACTGAACAGGATTTATTCTTAGTTCAGCGAAGGTGACACAGCCTCTTCTCGGACAAGCATGCTGTGCAAAATTGTGAGGGAGGGGAGGTTGGACTGTATATGGCTACAGAAGAGAGAAGGGCACACACAGCTGTGACGTCTGCGTTGCGGTGTCCTTCTCATCCAGTTGCAGAACAGAGAAGCTGTTAAGTTCAGCTGAGCTCATTTGGTAATGGTGGAGCCAGGGCAGCAGAGAGACATCCTGGCAGGAGCAGTGGGCTGTCGGGCTTCAGCAGCCGTGGCGTTTGATCAAAGTCTAGTAGAGAAATAAAATGTGGCCCTTAAAATTTCTCAGGTTTCTCTGTAGCACCAAATATGTAAAATTTAACAAAGTTAGGAAGGAACAGAAAGGAGACAGGGGTTTCACAGTGCACTGGGCTGGTCCATGTGTCTGGTCAATGCGGTGACCCAACAAAACTTATACAGAGGCACTTTGAAGCCCGACGTGGTGGTATGCTCCCAACAGCACTTGGGAGGCAGAGGCGGGTGGATCTCCTGAGTTCAACGCCAGGCTGGTCTACATGTCAACTTCCAGGCCAGCAAGGGCTACATAATGAGACCCTGTCTTAAAAAAACAATTTTTTAACCCACACAGAAGCACTCTGATGTGAGTTTATTCTGACAGAATTACAGGTTAAGGTACAACAACTTGAAAAGCAGCAGTCACTGTTAATACTGAAACTGCAGGGTTTTGGAACAGCATTTTACAAAGGGTGCACCCCAGAATGCTGTCATAAAAGATGCTATTTAACACTGGGTGTAGTGGTAACACATAGCTTTAATTCCAGCACTCAGGAAGCATAATCAGACAGGTCTCTGTGAGACTGAGGGCAGCCTGAGCTGTGTAGGGAGTTTCAGGCCAGCATGGGGCTACAAGGAGACCCTATCGCAAAAAAAAAAAAAAAAAGAAAAAAAAAAAAAATAAAAATCAAAGTT